ACTTCGACACTTATATAACAGAAGGGAATTTTCTCTCCACCAGTCTCGCCACGACGTCCGACAGCATGGCATTCAAGGCATGTATAAGCATAATTTCCAGCCTTCTAGATATTGCAGATATATCGGTCAAATGTCTCACTTCATTACATAAATAGTACTGATACTTTTGCTGTGTTACAGGTACTCGTTCTAGCCGTCCTCGTGGCCGCCGCTCTCGCCCGTCCAGATAGCCCGCCTACCTATGGCTACTCTCCTCCCACGCCCTCTTACGCACCCGCCAAGTACGACTTCAACTACGCCGTCAACGACCCACCATCTGGCAACGACTTCGGACACCAGGAAGCCCGTGATGGCGACCACACACAGGGATCCTACTACGTCCTTCTTCCCGACGGTCGTCTGCAGAAGGTCACTTACACCGTCAACGGAGACTCCGGTTACGTGGCTGATGTGACCTACGAGGGAGAGGCTCAGTACCCCGCCCCACAAGCCACTTATGGACCTCCTCAGCCTTCCTACAAGCCACCCACCCCCTCCTACGCTTAAATATGTGAAGGGAAAATAACTGTTGATTGTATATTTATTGCATATTGTATTAAACAGGCACATTTAACATTTCTTGCATTTTCATTCTCTATATCCAAACGCCTACAGATTTGCTTTGCGTGGAAATGTAAAACACCCAGAAACGTCTATTTCGACTTTACCATGAGCGCGCTATAATGCGTATGATGCATGTTTATATACATACATATGTGTTTGTTGTATATATGTATGTATACATTTAGTTCGTATATGTGAAAGACAAGATGGACGTTGCATAGCAGAGCGAAAAATGTTCAAAATGTAACACTTCCCACAGAATGTTTTGGCCTTAACCATATTAATATACACTCATATAGACATACATGAATGTATAAATATATGTGTGCGTTTGCGTGTGTGCGTATGCATATGAATACATATACAGATACATATAATGATTATATATATTATATATATTATATATATATATATATATATATATATATATATATATATATATATATATATACATATTCTGACTGATATACGATTATATATATATGTGTGTGTGTGTGTGTGTGTGTGTGTGTGTGTGTGTGTGTGTGTGTGTGTGTGTGCATATATACATATATATATATATATATATATATATATATATATAGAGAGAGAGAGAGAGAGAGAGAGAGAGAGAGAGAGAGAGAGAGAGAGAGAGAGAGAGAGAGAGAGAGAGAGAGAGAGAGAGAGAGAATACACACACACTCACACACATGTACACAAACATATATATATATATATATATATATATATATATATATATATATTATATATATATATATATATGTATGTATGTATGTATGTACACACACGCACACACGTACAGATGCTTTCATGTGTGTGTGTGGATATTCACACATACTTATATGTATATGTATATATATATACATATATATATATATATATATATATATATATATATATATATATATACTGTAAATATATGGGTTTGTATAAATATGTGTAAAAAATCGAGAAATGTCATCCACATTACATTCTACTCATGTTTACCTTTAAGGATTAAAATTTACGTAAGCGTCACATTTTACTTCATGCATCATAGCGTTCATTGCAAACTTCCTGTTCACTGTCTGAAAGGCTCATATTGTTAATAGTGATTGCTTTTAATTGTTCTGAATACATATCTCTAACTTGGTCCTTCAAACCAAAGGCAACATCTACATTGGGTACTATTCTCAATGTGGAGCTTTCCCATATCGGCGCGACCCGGTAATAAATATGTAAGTAGCAAATTCGTCTTTGTAGGTTGGAGTAGGTCAAGATTTTTGGAGGACTATATATCAAAATGTGATTAATGTTCTCTATATCTTTAAGAGGAATGCGTAACCGAGCATATGCTTTTCCTACTTAAGACTGGACATTTTGATATAGGTAGCCACTGAAGAGTACAGTCTTGGATTAGAATTCATCAGCAAATTAAAAACTGGTAGCACTGGGATTGCTCCAACCTATAAGAATGAAGTTCACAATGAATCTTCCATGGTAAATTGTTCCCAGTCGTCAATTAACAGCGCTGTACTAATAGCATTCGTAATCATGTTAAGAAATATATTACTGATTACGTACGTAGTCACTAAAATCATGAAACCACCACGTCGATCATATCGTATTCACCATTTCATAACGATCACCAGTCACCCAGACGTTCCCGGATAACCATGCAATATACCGTAAATTTAATGGTTGACTGTTTCAAATATTCGATAGTACTAAATGCCGCCCAATTTCATACACCAGTTATTCAGTCTCAAATTTACAGATGCTTGCAGCTTTCTCCCCTAAACTTAGCAAACGAAAACCTACTTACGTAGATTCCGTTATCAATATTTTATTCGTATAGATCCATGTACATCTCCATAGGATAAAGTAACATTGACAAAAAAAAAAAAAAAAAAAAAAAAAAAAAAAAATCCACGTAGCTCTTTACGTTAAAGTTACATTTTACATTTTCTGTAATTTCGCTAGAGGGGAAAACTTGAAAAAAGAATCAAGGTTAACCTGCTGGGACGGCATTTCCTGACGTCATCACATGGGTGGAGTTTTTTCTTGGACATTTGTATAAAAGGCAGAACTCTTTCTGCCTTCGTCAGTCTCCCTGCAGTCTCATCAAGACAACATGGCATTCAAGGTTTGTGTTTGTGTGTCATTCGCGTATCACTGAGAATAATACGGTTATTTCATTCCGTGGCTCAATTATGTGTTTTTGATTATCCGGAAGAAACAATGCTTGTGACTCCAAACATTGTTCAAACTTAATATTAGGCTGAATATTCGCTCTGAAAAGGAGAGGATGATAGTGCTAAAGTTAAGTAAGGGTGCTTTTCTAATTTACATATGTTGCAGTCTCTTTCCGGTATGAGAGTCAAGCTATATTTATACATTATTAGATATGCAATAAATAACTTTCTATAATATGGATTGCATATCTGAATCCACTGCATTAATATAATTATGTAAACGTAACTTTCGGCAGGTATTCGCACTGGCCGCCCTTGTGGTCGTCGCCATCGCCCGTCCAGATAGCCCGCCTACCTATGGCTACTCTGCTCCCACTCCCTCTTATGCACCACCCGCCAAGTACGACTTCAACTACGCCGTCAACGACCCAGCATCTGGCAACGACTTCGGACACCAGGAAGCCCGTGATGGCGACCACACACAGGGATCCTACTACGTCCTTCTTCCCGACGGTCGTCTGCAGAAGGTCACCTACACTGTCAACGGCGACTCCGGTTACGTGGCTGATGTGACCTACGAGGGAGAGGCTCAGTACCCCGCCCCACAAGCCACTTATGGACCTCCTCAGCCTTCCTACAAGCCACCCACCCCCTCCTACGCTTAGATGTGTGAAGGGAAAATAACTATTGATTGTATATTTGTTACATATTGTATTAAACAGGCACATTTAACATTTTCTTGCATTTTCATTCTTTATATCCAGACACCTACAGATATGCTCGACTTTACCATGAGCGCGCTAAAATGCGCATGATGCATGTTTACATACATACATATGTCTGTGTATTGTGTGTATGCAGATATACATATACTTAGTATATGTGAAAGACAAGATGGACGTTGTATAGCAGAGCGAAAATTGTTATAAATTTAATGAAACACTTCCCACAGAATGTTTTGGCCTTACCATCAAAAGTCTTGTAAGGTTGCATATTATATTTAAGCATGTTTGAAATCAGTGACATAGTTAAGAGAAGCGAATGTTTGTTATCAGAATTTTAAACTTGGCTTGGCTACTAAGGTGTAATATTATAAATTCTCATTCTCAACCCTTAAACTTTGGAAGAACACTTGAAACAATTCATAATACTTAAGAGAGGTCCTCCCTACAGACTATACCTACACAGTGTGTTTGTGACATATATGTATAATTATGTATATACATAAATAATATATATATATGTATATACGTGTATATAATAATGTGTTATATTATATGTAGTTATCTACATATGTATGTGTGTTTGTGTTTATAAATATATTCACAAATTTTATTGATATACACTCATACAGACATACATGAATGTATAAATATATGTGTGTGCATGTATATGAATATATATATATATATATATATAGATAGATAGATAGATAGATAGATAGATATATGATTATACAAACGTAAATATATATATATACACACACACATATATATATATATAATATATATATATATATATATATATATATATAATATATATATATACACACACACACATACAGATGCTTCTATGTGTGTGTGTGTGTGAATGTGCACACGTATTGATACCCATATATAATGTAAATATATGTTTGTGTAAAAATGCTTAGAAAATTCGAGAAATGTCTTCCACATTACATTCTAAACTCATGTTTACCTTTACGAAACAAAGGATTAAAATTTTCGTAAACGTCAAATTTTACTTCATGCACCATAGCATTCATTGCAAACTTCCTGTGAACTCTCTGAAAGGTTCATATTCTGGTAATAGTGATTGCTTTCAATTGTTCTGAATACATATCTTCCACGTGGTCCTTCAAACCAAAGGCAACATCTACATTGGGTACCATTCTCAATGTGGAGCTTTCCCATATTGGCACGACCCGGTAATAAATATGTAAGTAACAAATTCGTCTTTGTAGGTTGGAGTAGGTCAAGATTTTTGAAGGACTATATATCAAAATGTGATTAATGTTCTCTATATCTTTAAGGGGAATCCATAACCGAGCATATGCTTTTCCTACTTAAGACTGGCCATTTTTATATGGGTAGCCACTGAAGAGTACAGTCTTGGATTAGAATTCATCAGCAAATTAAAAACTGGTAGTACTGGGATTGCTCCAACCTATAAGAATGAAGTTCACAATGAATCTTCCATGGTAAATTGTTCCTAGTCGTCAAT